GAGTAGAGGAATATCCTACATGAAATAAGAAAACGGAAGGCTACTTGGATTGGTCATGTTTTACGCAGAAACTGTCTTCTAAAAGAAGTTATTGAAGGAAAGATAGAGGGGCGGATAAAAGTGACAAGAAGACGAGGAAGAAGATGTAAGAAGATGCTGGATGACCTTGGGGACAGAAGAGGATACTGTCATTTGAAGGAGAAAGCTCTAGATCGCATTAAGTGGAGGAATTGTTTTGGAAGAGACTGTGGACCTGTCGTCTGACAGATTACTGATGATGATTTTAATATAAAACCTGTTACGCATATACAAATGTAATTTCTAGCTTAGGCAATGGCTTGGAAGGCCATGTGAATTAAATATGCAGCCTGTCTTCAGAAGTCAGCAGTTGCTCAGCTAATCACGAAATTCCCGTTTATGGAATATAATAGTTAATTGTGGCATTAACAGTCTGCAATTGATCCCTGTTCTGTGTCTGATGATTCAAGACCACACGTCCAACCTTGTTTCTTCGATCAATTTTAATATTATCTCCCATCAATGACTAGGTCTTCTAACTGATCTCCTTCCTTTAGTATTCCCTACAAACATATTAATTAGTGAACAGTGCACTTGAATAACTGCTGGGACCAAAGAATACAAATGACAGTGAAACTAAATTCATATTAAGCAGGCAATGAACACTTATTTTTGCAAAGCTATTTATATATTACAAACAAGAAAATGGTTTTTGCAATTATACAAACTTCATTTTTCTGATGTACACTTGCTACTGGCACAAACATTACTTTAGGAACGAATCAACTTTCCCACCTAGAAACCTCTAGATTTTCCTCTGCTATTGTTAAACCAGAATTTATATTTATATGTGTATAATATAAATACCGTCGTAAATGCAACAATTTGCTTCTAGGTCTTTGTGTTTATTCTTTTACACTACATGTTTCGGCCGTAACTGGCCATCATCAGATGTATTTTCACTTATGTAGCCGTCACACTGCACATATTTGCAATGACATATGTTTACATCTCGAAACTCTGAGATCACACTTTGAAACTTATTTTGCAAGTAAATATGACGAATTATCATGGATTCATGATCCTTTCCATTGCAATATTGAAAACAAGAAAATTTCATTGAATGAAAGAGAACAGTTAATTGAACTCTCAAATTAAATTCCAAGCAGAAGGTATGGTTAATTTCTGATCTCATCACCAGTGAAAAGAGAATATAGTGAACTGTACAATGGTGCTTTAAAGATTATAATTCAGTTTGCTTCTACATATGTGTGAGGAAGGGTTTTCATCACTAACTCAAATAAAAACAAAGTATTGAAATTGACTCAATGAATGTGACAATCTCCAACTTAAGCTTACCTGCATACATCCAAATATAGAACAACTGTGCAAGAATTGGCAGGCTCACCCATCTCATTAATGTGAGTACCACCATTTATTTATTTTTTTGTTAATAAGTTAAATATTATCCAAATTCTAATAGCCTTAAAGTATTAAAAAACAAATATGAATTTTCTTCTATTAACTTAATTACTTCTATTTTAAAATATAAGTATACTGGTATTAAAATATGCTAAAAAATGATAAATTTGCTTTCGAAGGGAAGAAGAGTAAGGTGGTCCGCAGAACTGTTCTGACTTATAAAAGTGGTCCCCCACTTCAAAAAGTTTGAGAAACACCGTTCTACATGATAAAACTGCTCTTTCAGTACATGCTCAGAACAGCTTTATTCCCCAGCATAAAACTAATTTAATATATACCTCATTTGTTTTGTCATGAGAACTCAGTTTTGCCCAAGAATTAATGTCAGAATGAGACCACAAACCCGAAATGCCATATTTAAGGAAATGTTTTATTTTTGAGTTGAATAATTTAAGCGGTCACAGAGCTCCATTAAGGGGTCCCGCAAAAGCAAAATTTTATTCTGTCAACAGATAGACTGGCAACTCTGCAGGCAGAATTCTTTTAATATTTCACTGCTTCTGCTGTGCAGTAAAGAACAATTAAGTTTACTGCAGAACACACTTTATGATTTAATTTTAATATACAATTGGCAGTGACATATGACGCCCAAATTACATATAACACAGTCTACATTATATGAATCCCTGATAAGTTGTGTTTTACGTCCTGTATTCATCTGGCACCAATAAAAATAAATCAGATGCTATAAAGAATGTTTTCTGTTACCTTCCATTGACATACATGGTGGCTTAAAACATTCACAAGGCACTTAAATACCTGTCGTTTACTGGAAGAATTCTGACAATATTTTCCATGTTTTGGCAACAATCTCTCTTTCTCATTGATTATGACAGTAAAAAAGCCACTCACCAACTGAAAATTTCAAGTAACCACATGTATCCCATTTCATCAAACACAGCTAATGGTTTACATACCCGAGTTCTTAATATATGTACACATGGATAAAGTCTGTGGTTTCCATACCAACAGATCCACATCTGCTAGGGCTGTAATGCATCTCATGCCAGCTTTACAGCTTCAGCTGACATATGTCTGCCTGTGGCACATTGTACGTTCTGTGTTATTTCTTCTTCTTCTGCTCCTCCTCCTCCTCCTGCCATTTCAAGGATTGAGTCATGACCATTCCGAGACTAAAGGAATTGTTGTGCTCACCTTCTTTTTTGGATGTTCAATGTCCAGCCTTCCAACAGGGTAATAAAATATGCTTGTCATGGAAATGTTCAGGAGGAGCTGTATGATGTAATTACACATTTTCTGTGCTTAGTGAAGGAACAGGCAACACAGGCTGCAGTTTTCCCGACCTCAGTCTCCCACAAGACCTGGTATGTTGGACCAACCATGATTTTTTTTCCCAAGAACATAACCCATATTTTTCATAAGGGGAAAAACCAAAATATGGCACAAATTCATATGCACATTGCACCCACAAACACACAATATGGCATGTAACTGCTATCACCTAAGAAGCCGCCCACTGAAATTAAATGAGAAAATGAAAACTGCATGTGAACTCAGATGCCATTATTACACATTCACAATTTCAATTTTTTTTAATTAGTCCAGTAAATTCATTTTTTCCACCTCCTGCATAAAAACTAAAACACGGAAAGTAACATTTGAGATTCGCGACCCCAGAAATACAACTTAAAACTATGATCCACTTAATAATACCCATTTATCCATGACTCTCAATCTGCTCCATACTGATATTTCACTGGCCACCATCTTCATTAACACTCACGTGTTGTGATGGGTGTGTGAAGTGCTGGAACCCTGGTAATGGGCAACCTGAAACAGAGACAGCTGTTTCTAAAACCTGCTGCTAACATCTGTTGCTATTGCTTGCACTATCACTGGGCAAAAACATTCAACACTGCTCTACTCCTGCACTGGCAACAGACAAACATGTGACACTACATAATATAAGGAACAGAAAGCATCATTAAATAAATAAAAATAAAAAACAACTGGCACATTCTTAAGCAAATATAATAATTAGAAGGCAAAATATCCATGTGCTTAATTAATTAATGAAGTGCCATGCCAAGAAAATGTATGGGGGAGTGGAAGTACAGCTCCACCATTCTTGACCTTGGCACTAACTACATTGAGGTGAGCAGTTAGCTTCATGCCCTAGCTGCTTTACTTCTGTGGAAAGACTATCCATTGGATAGAAGGCTGTGTGGAACCAAGAGACAGCCTGGAGTAGGAAAATGTCATTTGCCACTATGGGAATCAAACCCTAGCCAAATTGTAATAACGCTAATACGATTTTAGGTCCATTAAAACATACAGGGCGATTTTCAGACTCTCTATGAAAGAAATAAGCTCAGAGGCACTAAATCTCATCCGGACACACTTCATAACTACAGGACTACCACCTACTTAGGCAGAACTTGTGTCACGAATTGTGGGCCTGGTGCTGCTGAACAGGTTAACTCAGTGGCAATGCCGGAAGCAACCAAGTTCAAGTGTGGCAGTTCTGGATTACATTCATCCACACATTCCCAATAAACACTAGGACATGCTACACCATGTCTACAGTTCATGCACCAACATTAAACAAATAATAATGATGAGAAATATATACAGTGTGTCCAGATTCTGTTAGGACTGTGTTCATTAAAAATACAAGAGATGAATTATTTTCAAAATTTCACTCCTTTTATTCAAAATAGTCTCCTGAATCAATACATTGTTGGAACTGAATGAAAAGTTTTCGAAAACAGTTAACTGTACTCCTTTTGTGGAACTGCATTTAAAACTGCGGTAGATTCCATTTGGATGTCCTGGATGGTGTCATAATGGTCTCCTTTCATCGCCAACTTAACTTCTGGGAGCAACCACAAATCTGCTGGAGCCAAATCTGGTGAATATGGAGGATGATCAAGGACTGTGATATGTTTTCTGACCAAAAAATTGCGCAAGATCTTAGATTTGTGGGGTGGGGCATTGTTGTGGAGGAGCAACCAGGAACCTTGCTCTCGATATTCAGGTCGAATTCGAGAAATTCTCGCCCACAAACGATTGCGGACTCTGGGATAATAATCAGAATTCACTGTTTGACCTTCTGGCAGATATTCCTTTAGAATCGAAAAAAACGGTTAGCAGAATCTTTACTCGACTGGTTTGCATATGCACTTTCTTTGGTTTCGGCTTCTTTTCGCTCAACCATGCTGCATTCTGTTGCTTTATGAGAGGCTCATATTGAAAACACCATGTCTCGTCACCAGTAACAATCGATTTTCTAAAGTTTGTATCACTTTGGGCCGACCGTAACACGTCTTTGCAGTGTTCCACTCTGGCGTGTTTTTCACTGCCTGACAGTGCGTGCTGTACAAACTGTGCACAGACCTTCCATTTGCCCAAATCCTTGGTCAAAATTTGGTGGACAGTACTTTTTTTGTGTTCCCAAAAGCTCCTCGATGAATATTGCAGAAACACATCTGTCTGATGCAAGGATTTCGGTCACTTTGCTCAAATTATCTTTAGTGTGTCTTGTTCTCGGCTTTGATGCACGTGGAGCGTCTTCAACGTCCTCCCTGCCGCCATGAAATACAGCATAACCGTCGAAAAATGTTCGAGCAACTTAAACAATCACTAGTGTACACACTTTTCATCATTTTGTACGCTTCTCCGGCTGTTTTGCCTAACTTCAAACAAAATCCGATGCTGGTGCTTTGTTCAACCGCCATTTTGTGACGAGCGTCAGAACAGTACTGTTACATTCAAGGTCAGAACACGATGCAGCGATGCTTGCGCTTTGAAATTATAGACAGCCACAGCTGAAACTTCAAGAATCTTAATGCCACAACTTGCCAACAGATGGCATTGCAGGGGGGGGGAAGCTAACAGATCCTGGACACACCACGTATGCTTACAAGATCTCTGACAGTTTAATACAAACTTGAACTTTAGTGAATATTACTTACCTCCCGATCTTTGCTATTTTTCCATGGTTTTATCATATTACTGGAACTATGAATACTCAGAGTTCAGAGATCGTCCAATGACAAGCCTTCGTATTTCACTTGTTCCACCCCCAATTTCATAAAGTTTTGCATCCCTCAACAGCCGACCAGCAGGATAATCATTAACATAACCATTGCCACCTGTGAAAGTGAGGAGAAAAAGCATTTATCTGACATCAATAGTTGTTGCTTGGAATATGATGCAATGAGCAGTCAGTATGTACACAGGATGTCCCATGATGTAGGGTCAATGCTTTCACCTACGTTCAAGGCAGATCATATCAAGTCAGAAAACAGAGAATAGTCATTATGCTTATGCTCAGCATTAAAGGAGTTAGGAACTTGCTAGAATGCATGCACGCATAAACAAACAGATATAGAATAAGCCATTTGCACCTAGTGTCTTACCAAGACACTGGATACAATCCAGGCCAAGCTGAGTCGCTTTCTCAGACAAATACAGGTAGACACCTGCACAGTCCTTCTTGTTCACATGTCCTCCATCACATGCCCTTGCAACATTGTACAGGTAGCTTCTGCATGCACTCAAGGCAGTATACATGTCTGCTATCTTACCCTGCAACAAGCCAAACCAATCTCTTCTGTTCTGTTTCCATTTACAGCACAAAGATCAAAACACGGTGACACCCCATTTCAAGTTCCCTTGGGAACACTGGTATCGAACACTAAACTGAAGAAAACCTTAAATAACTAACGTCATGGACCTGAGCCCTTCTTGAGTAACTGCCAGTTGTGCACCTACTCAAGAATTTCCAAAACTTTTATGGAATCAGAAGGTTCATTACCATGTTTGTAAGAGACCTCCACTGGTCTCTATCCTAAGCCAGATCAGCGCAGTTCATAGCACTCTGTCCTATCTCTCTAAGATCCACTCAACTACATCTTGGCCTTCTCTTTCTTTTGGACTTTCCAACCAAAATCCTGCATGTGTTCCTTTCCTACCCCTTTTATGCTACATGCCCTGCCCATCTAATCCTTCATTCTTGATCATTCTAATTATATTTGGCAAAGAGTATAAGATGGGATTTGTGATGGACAAAGTGGTGCTGGGGCAGGTTTTCCCCGAGTACTTCAGTTCCCCTGCCAATCCTCATTCCATCAAATTCTCCATACGCATTATCACCAGTACAGGTACAATAGGACATATGGAAGCCAACGTGCCGAGGGGACCTAATATGGATTCCACTTCACACTATGTGAAATCTTAACTATTGTAATCTACTGTAAACAATTTTAAGTATTGTAACTTTATTCTCTTATTGTAATCAGCCAATGTACACTAAGTGACTTGTCCTATATCATGTAACAATGATCTATAGAGACGAAATAAATAAATAAATAAATAAAAACAGATGTAGTTTCCTCCAACCTCCTGTCACTTGAGCCTTCTTTGGGCCAAATATTCTCAACACCCTCAGTCTACGTGCCTCCCTTAATGTCAGAGACCAAGCTTCACACACATACAGAACCACAGGCAAAATTATAGTTTTGTATATCTTAATTTTTTGTTTTTAGACATCAGATGAGAAGACAAAAGATTCTAGACTGAATTGTAACAAGCATTACCTGAATTCAATCTCCTCTTAATTTCCTCCTGAATCAAATTTTGATTTGTCACTGTCATTCCCAAATATTTTAACAGTGCCATATTTTCAAAGGATCCATTAGCTATCTTTATCTCATAATTTTGCCCTGCATTCCGGTGACCAGACAGCAACATATACTTAGATTTCTTTGTGTTTCCTTCTAGACCAACATTATTAGTAGTGTCAATTAAAGTTTCTGTGTTTTTATTCAAGGCATCTCAGCAGCTGATGTGTCCCATTTAATTTCAGCCCAACCTGGTTTTCCTGGACCTTCCCAATGGCATATTCTAAAGCAAAATTGAAAAACAGCGGTGATTATGCGTCTCCTTGCTTTAGACCACTCTAGATAGGAAAATTATCAGACAAATGTTTAACCATATGGACTTTACTATACATTTCCTTCACATGGATTTTAATCAGACTAACTACATTCATGGCTACCTCAAACTGTACGAGAATATTGTACAATACTTCCCTCCTAACTGAATCATAGGCTTTCTTGAAGTCTATGAATAACTGATGTACTGTCTTAGATTAGTAGTTGATTTGTTACATCAAAACCCACACTGATGATCCCCAGTAATTTCATCTATATATGGACTTAACCTTGAAAGGATATTAGACAGAATATTTACGAAGCTGATACCAGTGACATCCCATGATAATTATTACAGTCACTTCTTGTAAGCTGATACAATAAGAGACTCCTTCCACTGATCAGGCAATTCCTCCTCCTTATTTCAATTAGAATTGACAGGTTTGTGGATCTCAGACCATACAATGTTTCACCTACTACTTGGACCAGATCTGCCGGAATTTGATCACCATCTGGCGATTAATACTTTTTGAACTTTGCAATAGCAATTTCAATCTCAAAAGGACTCAGATCAGGTACTAACGGCTCAGCTGTATGTATTTCTACCTGCCTAACATCACTGACCCTATGTACATTCAATATTTGAGAGTTCTTTCACAGTTACTTCTAGCTTGGTAACTCCTCTTAACACTTTGCGGACCGACAATTTAAATATTTAAGTCACCCTGCGGACTGGCATTTTTATACCTACTACCCTAACTTGTGCACTGTTCACTTTAAAAATTAATATAAAATCTCCTAATTAATTTTATGAACTAAAATTTTTGGAGAACACTTACCAGTGCTCCTAGAAGTGCTTGAGAGTGCGATATTTCTGGAAACATTCCCCTTTGTGAAGTGGCATTACACAGAACTTGCACATGTAGACAGTCATACTCCTTTTGTTGTGTACTGTGCAAACACGGCATCGCCTAGAAGGCTGCTTCCCCTTGGCATGTTCACTCTTCACAGTTTTCATGAGGGTATGTTTCCGCATATCACCCGAGAGTCGCCCAGGGGGGGTTAAACGAGGCCTGCATGGGGTGGGAGTAGACGGCCCCGGTCGTACTAGGACCGTGTGGTCTGTAGCCCAGGCTTTTGCCACATTCAGCAGAAATGCCTTGTATTTCAATTTTGAATGAGCGTTTAGATTTTTGAAAACCAAAAATGAATTGAAAATTGCACAATTTATAAGCCACAAGGCAACTTTCTTTGTCCACTTTACTGTTTTCTGAGGAAGAGAACAATAGGGCAAGTACTGATCGGCTCTATCAACTCCCTTCACGGACAAATTATACTCGGAAATACAAACAGGCTTCTTTACCTGTCCATGTCTCCTCTGAACATCAACCATGCTCGAATTGTGAATTGTGGAAATCATATTCACAACACGAGTATCCCTCCAGGACTGAAGAAGAATATCCCCCTTCCTCCTGAATGTGGTTTCACCATGTTTCAGGGATTTACATTCCTCTTTCAGATCTGGACGAAGGCCTCTGTTCACCCTAATTGTTTCACAAACACATACTTTTCTCGAAAATAGGTTTTCTGCAGTTGCCACACTGTTATAATAATTGTCTTGATAGACATGGTAATTTTGATCAAGATAGTGTTCCAAAATGGAAAGAATAGTTTCTTGTAATTTCTTTCCATCACCAGAATAAATTCTAATTTCCAATATAGCTTGAAGTGCTTTCAGTAACTACACGAACAACTAGGCAATACTTTGTAAGTTTGCCAGGATTATATGTTCACATATGAAGCCTTCCCCTCCAAGGAATCACAGATTCGTCCAAAGACAGTTGTTGGTTTGGCTTATAAACTGTCTGAAATTTCTGAACGAAAAAGTTCAATAAGGGCTGAATTTTGAAAAGCCTGCTTGTTGATTGTGGTTGTAGTTCATTATCATTGAAATGCAAACACCACCAAATTTGCTCAGATCTCTTACAGCTCATTAGTTTGTCGAAAATTGGAATTTCTAAAAATGGATCTGTTGACCAATACTCTTTCAGATTATCCCTCCCTGTATGGCCCATTAGAAAGATAATTGCAAAAAATTTTTTCATTTCTGCTGAAGTGACATCCACCCACTTCAGGGCCTTATAACTTCTGTCATAATGTTCACGGTGTTGGAGATAGTATCTGTTAGTTTCCTGACATAGCATGTCAAAGACACTACCTCCAAAAAACAGTTCCGCTACTTCAGACACTTGCATTGGGTCTGATGGAATTTGCTTCACCCCTGGATTTCCAGTAAACTGTCCCAAAGCAGGCGTTTTGTCTACTTTTCCCCATGTGGCTGTCCCCGCAATGTTGCTACCCACACATTCATCAGAGCTATGGTCACTCTCACTTTCACTGTCTGTGGTCACAATTTTTTGTTCGCCCCTGCCACACTCACTATCAGATTGTGAGTCACTATCACTAGCAGACTCACAAGGGACGTCAGATAGCTCATCGGAGAAGAAGTCAGATATTTCTTGTTCTCAAAGAAATCGCTTAGGTGCCAACTGCTTTGGTCTTTGATCCATACTGAACTACTGACAGGTTGCTACGTAAAGCTTGAAGAAATAAAGCCATTTATTTTCCTTTGCAGGGGCATAGAGTTACAGCAAGGTCTAGTAACTGATTGGTCAGCAGACATTCCAGAGCCTTATAATGCAGCTGCAAGCAGCTACGTGCTACCGAGGTGGAACCAGAGAGATGTATAGTGTGTTGCAACTTATCATGTTTTAAAAACCTGTTAACATGCTAACAGTCCGCCATGTTTAAAACCGAAAAACCTTTTAAAGGGTGCGTGGTCCGCAAAGTGTTAAAGTCATTTATTCCTCATACAGGTTTCTAATATTTTTGTTCTTACTGCTCATCACAAGCTCATTAATTGTGTCTTTCAGATGTTCTCGCTTTTTTTATTCCTGAAATATCTGCTGGATTCACATCTTATATTGCTTTGATTATCCCCATTTATTTTGCTTGAATTGTCACCATTGCAATTTGGCTTGTTTCCCTTCATCTAATAATTTTGAGTATCCTTCATCAAAGTGTGGTTTATGGTTCTTCAATCTGTAATAACCTAGACTCTATATGGTTGAAATTTTGATATTCTCTCTAACAGATGTCCAAACTCTATTAATATCAACCTCATGGTCTAAGTTTTCCAAATCTGCAAACCTGTTTGAAATTCCATGATACTGTTCTTTACCCTCCACCTCGTTTAATCCCAAGATTGAACCTCTCCATATGAAATCTGTGCACAGTTTGTTATCGCACCGCCAGTCTCTCCCTAACTTTGGCCATCGCATCACATCAAGTACACTTGAATGCTGTCTTCTATCAAAATACGATCAAACTGATTGTGAGTCTTTCCATCAGGAGATTTATGAATGTTACAATGTGAAAACATATTTTTGGATGTGGCAAAGTTTGCTACCCTAACTTCACTGTCAGTAGTAATTTTGTGTGAACTCTCATTCCCAATTGTTGGTTTGAAAATGTCTTCCCCAACTATTTCGGCACTGAAATCCCCTAATAAAAATTTTCATATGGTATTTAGGGAATTCGAATCTATGTTCTAGTTCCTCACAAAAGCCATCCTGCACATCATCAATTTATCCTCTGTTGGGGTAGGAACATTCAGAACAACGATATCCACCCCTTAATATTGTGTATGACATCCTACCACTAACGAACTCTACCCTCTTAACTGCTGTTATGATTCTCTTATGTGCAAAAAAACCTATACCCAATTCATGATTCTCATTCCCCTTTCCATAGATAAATGTATATTTGCCTGCTGGTTCCGTGCCACTTCTGTCCTATCCGACCTGTACTCCCACTAAATCTAACTTGTTTTGATACTTTGTTCACAACTATCATGACAGTTCCTTGTACCAAGAAAAACTTAAATGGAGCAAATTTAACACTGTGATTATTGGCTTGGAATCACCAAAACTGAACATTAAATGAAAATAAAATTTAAACCAAGGGGAAGTACCTGGGAGTTCCACTGCATGATAAACACAGTCTCTTAGCATACCAGAAATGACTGTAGTTCAGAAGATATCTGCATTCTGGAGCATAGCAAATATGAATAGAACTGTCTGTCCTTTACTGAACAAGATTAGAAAGGTGCAATATTTACTGCAGTACACAATATTTGCAAACATGTAGCTTGAACTTTCTGTTAGGACCTCTAACATCAATTTCATAAAGTCCATCAAACAGTTCTCAAGCTGAAACAAGACGACAGACACGATATTTATGATAAGGTGGTTCAAATATGAGTGGGACTAATTTGTGTGTAAACATGCCACACTGCGCAGCAGCTGTGCGACCTTGAGAGAGTGAAGCCACAACCTTCATCCTCCCTCCTGTTCAGGTTAGAACCTGTTCAGTCCTGTCTGGGAGTTGCTAGAGTGATGAGCGAACAGAAGGTACCGTGGAGTGTGAAACGCACTGTGATCAAATTCCTCGTTGGAGAAAACGTCCCGTCCGCTGAAATTCACCAGACTCCAACAACAGTATGGAGAAGAGAGTCTCTCACAGACCTGTGTGTTTGAGTGGTGTAAATGCTTCAGAGAGGGCCGAGAGCGCGTGGAGAATGAACTGCATGATAGTCAGCCGCGAACATCCGTCACTGAGCCAATCACTGATCATGTAGACACGCTTATTTGTGAGAATAGGAGCCTCACTATCAAGGAACTTGGAGCAATGCTGTCCATCAGTGTTGGTAGTGTAGTAGACATCATGAAATACCACCTGCACTATTGTAAGGTGAATGCACAGTGGGTACCAAGCATTTTGACAGATGTGAACAAAACAGTGTGCACGCAAGCTGCCAGTCGTCGCCTACAGCAGTTTGATGACGAAGGTGATGCATTTTTGAAGTCTATAGTGACCACCGATGAAATGTGGGTGCACTACTTCATTCCCAAGTCCAAGCAGTCATCACGCAAGTGGCGGCATACCAGTTCTCCCAAACCCAAGAGGAGCCGTTTGGCAGGAAAAGTGATGGCAATGTTCTTCTGGGACTGGCAGGGGGTTACCCATGTAGACTTTCTGACAGATGACAGAACAGTCAATGCAGCTTATTACTCAGATCTCCTGGCAACAGACGCGAAGGAAAAGATCCGATCCAAGCGAAAGACAGGTGGAAAGCGGGTAGCCTTCCTTCAAGACAATGCATGCCCCCATACAGCCGAAACAACAATGGCAACCCTCCAAAAATTAAAATGGAACCTTCTGACACATCTGCCGTACAATCCTAATTTGGCCCCAAGTGATTTCTACCTGTTCGGAAGGCTCAAATCAGACTTGCAAGGCATGCGGTTTGTGGACAACGCCGCCATCATCCAGATTGTTTGGGAGTGGACACACCACCAATCACAAGCCTTTTTTGAAAAGGGCATCAGGATGCTTCCAGAACGTAGGAAAAAATCTGTTGACTCCGGAGGGGGGTACGTTGAAGACTGACATGTGCAACTAAGTGTATGGCAATTATGGTTAAAAAGATCAGTCCCGGTCATATTTGAACCACCTTGTATATTCATTAAGGTTACTGCTGTTGTGCAAAGAATGACTAGTTTTCTATAAAACTAAACATAAAAGACTGTGATATAAATGAACTCTGAAGTGCCCTCTTTCAAATTTCAATGACTGCAGATGCATTTCACATATAAACCACACCAAGGGCAACTTACCTGCAATAATTGGAATTCTCCAATTCTTTTATTGAACTGCTTTCTTTCGTGAACATATCTGAATGTAACATCACAACAAGCCTGCATAATCCTGCAATGAATGATTATATTTCAGCATTAATATAGAATAATCGTTTAGAAATAACCCAGACTGGCCAAACTGTTGTTACACTGGGGCCATGGTCAAACAGCATCACTGCCAATTCTGGATAAAGAATGGGAACTTACCATATAAGAATGATCTATAATATGTAATGAAAGTCAGACTTCTCTCTGTTACAGCAAGTTAGCGTGCAATATTTTGTACCAGAGAATGTTTTAGTCTCAGGACTGCCTAATCCACAAGGCTGTGGACACATCAACTTATCATTACATTGTACCAGTATAGTCATGGCTTATCCAGGGGGTGCCTATGCAAAATAAATGCTGTAATGGCACCCAACAGTCATTGGAAAGTACGACCAACTACTGATGGGCAGGGATGATGTCCACTTACCCCAGCGGTCCTCCAGACAGGATTAATCTCTCAAAATCTAATCCACTTAACAGGACATAGATGCCCTTGTTCTTTTCCCCCAGAAGGTTCTCAGCTGGCACTTTACAGTCTTCAAATATCAACTCTGCAGTATTTGAACCCCTCATCCCAAGTTTATCCAGCTTCTGTCCTGCTCTGAAACCTTCAAACCCTTTTTCCACAATGAAAGTTGAAATTCCATGTTGCTGCTTTGTGGCTGTAGGATCAGTGCGGGCATACACCTGACATGAGATTCAGTGAGAGAATTAGTTTAAACAATCATCTGGGATTCTACATAACAGATGAAATTAGACACCAACTTATCCCCAAGATATCTCAGACCTCTGCTTCTCTTCAAAGAAACACAAAAACATGACCTGAGATCTTAGAATCTCACAGGGGTGAATATTATAACTCGGGAACAAACAGGACATACAGTAACCACTGGGCTATAATGGGTTAAGACACCCTGAAGATGGAGGCAACAGGTTCCTCAGAAACTATGGTAAGGTAACACATGCTCAGCTATTACTGTTGAACTAAAAAGGACTGACCACTAGTCCATATCCTGAGCCAAATGAATGCAGTCTACATCATCATGCCCCATCTCTTTAAAACCTGTTTTAATAATATCGCTTTATCAATGCCTAAATTTTATAAGTGATCTCTTTCCTTCAGCTTCTCTGACCAATATGTGGTCTGAACTTCTAGCCTCTCTACATGCCCTGCTCATCTTAGTCTCCTTAACTTCACCATCCTTTCCAACAACCTCCTCAGTACTCTGTTCTCAAACACCCTGAATCAATCTTCCTCCCCTAACGTCAGAGACCAAGTAGTACACCCATAAAAGACAAAAATAAATGTATAGTTCTGCATATTTTATTTTTTACGTTCCAACAGAGCAGACAGGAAGACAAAATATTCCAATCTGAACTGTAGTAAGTGTCCAAGCATAATCTATTCTTAAGTTCTTCACAGATTCAATTCTGTATTTGTCACTGCCATTCCAAAATATTTTAACTATGCCATACTTTTGAATGATCAATTAACTACAAGGAAGAGTCATTACAGAGAACACAAATGGATATAAAATGTAAAACATGTGATATTCAAGCCTGGAAAAAACATTTATTCCTTGACATATCCTCCACCAACAATGACACACTTGTCCCATCACTTTCTTTATTAGTGAGCTGAAACTCACAGCATAGAAGTCTTCTGACAGCTGTCTCAGCCACTCCCGCACCTCCATGTCAACCTCTCCATCTTTAGCAAAACAACTGCAACCAAGGTGATTTTTTTCATGGATCAAACAGATGAAAGTCACTAGAGGCCAAGTCAGGGCTGTAAGGCAGATGTTCATGAATTCTCTCCTGGGCTGCTTGCGCCATATGGGGTCTGCATTGCCGTGATGAAGCAGTATCCATTTTGCCAGATCTCCTGGATGTTTTCAGTGAATTGCATCCTGAAGCTTCAACAGAACTTCACAGTGTGATGCAGAATTCATATTTTCACCATGCTTCTGGAAATGGGCTAAGAGTACTCTCTGAGAATCCCAGTACATGGTAAGCATACCCTTCTCAGCTGATGGTGTCACCTGGTTGAAGGTGAACTGGAATGTTTCCACTGCACCGAACCACACTTTGATTCGAGCTGGTAATGATGCACCCATGGTCTGGCCCCAGTAACAATCCTGTTCAGTATACCGTAAGAGATGTTGCAAGGACAGACCCATTCAGTTAATTTTGTCCCAGTTCTTCAGTTCTCTAAGCACCCACCATGCGCACACTTTCCGAAACTGCAAATGATCATGCATTATGCTGTATGCCAAAACAACGGGAACACTCTAGTGCATTTGCTGCACTGTCTATCATTATACCTTCTGTCAGCTCAAATCAACTCTTCCACCCGCTGCACAGTTTCTATCACAATCTATATTTTTTTTTATTGCTAGTGGGGTGGGACTAAGTCCTTTGTAGTGTGGCCACTTCTGGCCTATTGTACAGCCCCAGATGAGATGTGAGGGTGATTGTGGGGTAATTGGTAGAATGAAGATTGGCAGGGGAAACCGAAGTACTTTGAGAAAACCTGCCCCAGTGCCACTTTGTCCACCACAAATCCCACTTGACCAGACCCAAAATCAAACCCAGGCTGCCGCGGTGGGAAGCGAGCGACTAACCGCTCGAGCTATGGCGCGGCCTATCACAATCTCTAACAGGGCAACCTGGTCGGGCACCATCTGTGACTTTCGAACATCCCTGAGAGAATTTCTCAACTGAGCTGTGAGCTGCTTTATGTGACAAACACTTCCTACTGTAAACAGGAAACATTTCCTTATGAACATCCTCTGCACTAAGTACTTTTGCCCACAAAACATGCACAACTGAATGCTGCTCTTCAGAAATACACTCAAGTATAGTCGCCATTTTGACTACTGCAACCAGCCTCTGGACATGGGCATGTGCGACTTTTACCTAGACTGTCATGAAGCTGGACTCTGCTGGTACCTAGTGATACGCACTGAAAACCTGTTACATCCATTACAGCTGTTTTACTGCCATATGCATCCTACTAACTGACTCTTCCTCATATCTTTATATGTTCATTTTGTCCTGCATTCTGATGATGAGACATCAACATACACTTAATTAACTTTGTGGTTACTTCTACATCAATTTGCCTTAGAGAATATAACAAAGCTGCTGTGTTTTTCTTTATTGTATTTGTTGTCCCCCACAAACTTACACCACCATCAGTATAGACTGGAAGCCGACATGCCTCATTCAATTTCAATGCCTTCTGGTTTTCTTGGACTTTCCTAATGGCATGTTTTCAGGAGAGGTCAAAATAATGCTTATTTAGTCATATATACTGTTACTAAAATAGTATTCACAGAAAAAAAATTGTTTATGCTATAGTATTGAAATTATTATAGAATATTTCATGTGAAGGTCACTGGACTGTAACTTAATTATTTCCCTTGCATCTACTTATGAACTCAACACTTCCTTCAATCTCACTGCTGACTACAGAATCATGAATTCAAAAACTAACTATAATTAAGACATATAACTGTGCTATAAATGTTTTATCTCATAAGTATCCATTACATCCATCATTAATGAAAACATAGAGCTTACCACTGATACATCAGCGTCTGGGCCATTGGTAATCCAGAACTTGCTTCCATTTAAGACATAATAATCAGCTTTCCTCTCAGCTTTCAGTTTCATTGATGCAACATCTGATCCGGAACCTGGTTCAGACATAGCAAGTGCCCCAATGTACTCTCCTGAACATAACTGAAATAAATCCAAAATTGTCACTACATGAGATAAAAGACAATGCTGTTAATTTCATAAGTAACTTGATCCTAACACTGAAGTTTCAGACACCAAACAAGCTTCTGTTTCTTAAGACATGAACAGTGAAAATAATGCATTTTTGATACAATTCATCAACTCAATAGGGGAAAACCATAAAACAATTTGGAAGTACATTATCTTGAACAGTGAAAGAAATGCATGCTTGTGATCACTTAAAATCACCTTTTCTGTCCTGATCACCACATTTACACCACAGCTTGGGCCATAGGACCAACAATTTAAAATTAGTTTAAAGTTGGCTACTCAAGTGTTTCCTGGGGCATCCAACGTTCCACCTTCCTGTGCGATCACACTGCTGTATTTTGTGGGATATGCAATGTCAATCCAGTTTAAGACTGAAGCTCTACCATCTGTTACCATAACCTATTTCTGTTTGGTATTAACAACGTAATTAATTATCTGTGTACAAGCAGCCAGACTCTCTTGGCTGCAATGAACAGTATGACTATTATCCTTCCGAGGTCAGGTAGTTTTCCTTTCTATGTTCTTTGCATAAAGTGCCTAAAAGGAAGGCACGATAGGGAAGTCCCAACTATCCATCTGTTTCATCTACAAAACTAATCAAAGAAAATTTTTACTGAGGGTTTCTTGAAAGTTGCCATAAAAATTTCATTCTGGTTCATATTGGTGGACCTTACTTCATATGAAGATGAACCTGAGCTTTATTGGCTTTGTCAAAATGGACTTATCACACAAAACAAAAGATATGAATCTTATTAAGACAACCTTCAAGTACAAACACTGATCTGTGAACATACAATTGCTTCTTAGTTTGAAATATCAAGTCACATTGTCTATTATAATAAAAGGTGAATAAGTGGTCATAAAAATGCCACAGAACTCGAGACCTTCTATCTTAAGGCACGGTCCATGAAGTAATAACACTGGGGTCATCATCAATGAAGCACTGTTAAGTGTTGAAATGTAACCTTGCTCCATAGGTTAACAGCCTGCTTACATATGCTGCAGTAACAACACTCCTGTCTCCTCTAATTTTAAAATTTGGGTGAAAAATATTGTATGTAGATTTTAAACAATATGGTTTCAAAATGCAACATGCAACTCACTGAAAAACGTATGCAGTATACTGTGTTCTTTCAGTTTTTATTCCAATGAAGTAGTGTGAACTTTAAAAGGGAAATGTGTAGGTTTTTCTGAGTTGTGAAAAGTGAAGTTAATAATGGCATCTTAAAAAATAGGACAGGAGGATGTGAACTCAATACATTTGGCTGTGGGCAGGCACCAGCGATGGACTTCTGTGAATACAGTAATGGTCATATGATTCCAGAAAATGCTGAGAATTTCTTGACTAGCAGCAGAACTACTGGCTTCTTCAGAAGGGCTCTGCACTAATGACTTGGTTAGGAGCCAACCATCACCTTCCAGAAATTACTGTGACACCTCCCTCAATGGACCATGAAGAAATAGGCAAAATCTCAGGAAGCAATGAGACATGAACCAGGTACATAACTGCAAGTCTCGTATATTAACTGTTTAATTATGTGGGCGCACAGTTGCTACTACTCAATTAGTTCCGTACCTTTGGCAAATACTTCTCCTTTTGTTTCTGTGTGCCATGCCTAAAGATCTGATTCACACAGAGATTGGAATGTGCAGCATAGCTGAGACCTATGGCTGCAGATGCCCTACTCAGCTCCTCCATGATGACAACATGAGATAAGTATCCAAGTTCTGAACCCCCATATTCACTGGAGACAGTCGGGCCCAGAGTGCCCAACTCGCCAAGCTGACGCCAAAATTTCTGCAAAGAGATACACTGAAAGTACTGAAGCAGCATTTCATTCATTCAACAATCTTCTTCAGTTTCATAATCATTTTTACACACATAGCAGAACTCCTTGGATGAGTGATCAGCCCGTCACAAGGCTGCTACCTACATAAAGGACAACAAAAAAGAATAATCAAACACACAGACATCCATACCTTCAGTGGGATTCAAACCCATGATCCCAGTGTTCAAGCGAGCGAAGACAGTTCATGCCTTGGACCGCGCGGCCACTGTGATCGGTGAAGCAGCATTTACAAAGACAAAATTAAGATTCCATGATTACACAGTCATGTAATCGAAGCATTAATATACTAAATTATATTCAAATTATGATTTAAAATACTAAATAACATTTTGTACTCATAACTGCTAAGAAACCAATAACACAGATTTTCAAACAAACAATTATTTTTAAATTATATAAACATTTAACCAAACTCTTAAGAAATGAAAAAGTACATTAACAGTTAATAATTACAACGTAACTGCATAAAGGCTCACATGAGGAGAACTTTCTGTTACAATGTATGCACACACTTACTTTTAGTTATAACAATGAAACCTTCAATCCATTTGAGACATGAAACATGAAGTTACTTTACAAATGTGATTAAAGTAATAATATGTATTTAAATTTATTTATGGTTGAGATCAAGACAAGAGAGGAATCCTGTAAAGCAACCGGTGGTTGTGAGGTCTGAGCCTGTCAGACGGGTTTCTCCAGGATTTTGGTGCCCATCTACCCAACTACGAGTACTTAACATCCCACAATATTAAAATCTTAGTTGGCCATTTATTACAAAGTCTATTGCAGTAACCACACAAAAACAAATTTATCATCCTCTGTGAAATTCAGAAATTTAATTCTTCTTAAAAAGTTTTGATTCCTTTTCTCAGAAAGGTTTAACGATCACTTTTACTATTATGGGGGGCATCTTCAAATGAGTTTTGTTTTAAAGCAAACATCCTCCTATTCAGTTACATGTTTCTCTAGTAGTAAGTCCATTCATTGTTCAAACTGTACACACGATAAGAGAGTCAGAAGCTGAGTATTCATTCATTCATTTCTTTTATTTTCCATATATCTATACAGGTAACAAATCTAAAAATTACAACCCAACAACAACCAAGATTATTTATAAATAAACCATGTCAATTAACTCACTCAAATGTACTCACCGGTAATGCAGAGAATCCATTTTTCTTGTCAATCTCGTAAGCCTTTGTAGCAAGTTCTTTCTGAGCAAAGTTAAATACAGTTTGCCGTAACTACAAAGAGAACACAAAATTTTATGTAATATATGTATGCACACACGTGTCGGCATGTTAAGCTGGAATGTTTTGCATTGTGTATCCTGGATTTATCTAAGAAGAAACATTACTGTCACAAATGGGAGAGAATGAAGCCCAGACATTAACATCACACATATTCTAATGTATTACTCTAAAAAGACAGAACCAAAACTCACATGATATCAGTCAGCACCTGAAAAATGTCAAAAGTTACTCAACATTCTATTATAAGCAGTTTGTACAGCTTGTACTTATACTGTCATATTATTATCGCAGTATTACTATATTATTATCATCATCATCATCATCATCATTTATTATAATTTGGCATACTATTTCTGTATTATTATATTCTTATTACTATTTAGTATTAGTATTAATATTAATCTTTAACTTGTCCCATATCATGTATAATGATTCATGGATGAAATAAAATTGAATTGAATATTACATAATGATGGCTCTCTAAATTTATGTACAGGCCTTCCCCAATATTTTGGGGCACTAAACCAAGGATGATGAATTGAGTTGCTAGCTTGTTGTGGCATTAACCTTAAGAGAACACTGAATACAATTCCATACAAAACTGATAACTCATATTCCTCACAAAGGCAAAAATAATACCGTCTAATGTGACTATTTAAGTTTTATCACTTGAGGATTTATCTCCCTTACATGTTTCGATCCTTACAGATCATCCTCAGAGGGTATCAGTACTTTCGGCAACTACTATTACAATAGATGTTAATTGTATGGATACACATATGATGTCTAAAATGCATAATATATATGCAATGTTCAACCTTCCACATTCACGGCGGCCTTCTTGGTGTTAAAACTTTTTAAAAAGTTTGTTTTAAAAACTTTTTTAAAAAGTTTTAAAAGTTTGTTTTAAAAACTTTTTTAAAAAGTTTTAACACCAAGAAGGCCGCCGTGAATGTGGAAGGTTGAACATTGCATATATATTATGCATTTTAGACATCATATGTGTATCCATACAATTAACATCTATTGTAATAGTAGTTGCCGAAAGTACTGATACCCTCTGAGGATGATCCGTAAGGATCGAAACATGTAAGGGAGATAAATCCTCAAGTGATAAAACTTAAATAGTCACATTATACGGTATTATTTTTGCCTTTGTAATTGTTAGTGTGACGGACCAGAATGAAACATAACATATTCCTCATTAATTACCATAGTTCGTCTTGCTACTCTTTACATAAGCAAGTATAAAAATAAATTCCTTCCACTGCTATGACAATTCCTACTTATTCCGAACACAATGAATGTTTGTGGAACTTAAATGTAATATCAGGATTGCTGGCAAATCAGCAACAATCTAGACTTGTATTGGGATGTTTGGTTTGATTGTCAGCCAGAGCACTGGCTATCCTCACAGAGGTTCTTTGCAACTTTACTCACTCATCCAGGAAAATGCTGACAGAGTACACTGAAGAGGCCATGACCATTTCCTTCCAAAACCTTTCCCAATCATCATTCATTCTACCATTCCATGCTATATGATCCAGATAGACACTTCATAAAATAAACCACAAAAAATTGCTGATTCCTGTTTGAATAATTTCTTCCTGAACAGTAGCAGCATATATCTATTTATACCCTTTTATCTTTTCAACAACAGTTTATAAACCTCAAAAGGACTAGGATCAGTTGTTATATATTTCCATCCTCCTAACATTATTAACCCCATGTAAATTTCTTTTTTAAATCTTCCAGCTATTCACAATATTATGTAAATCTGCAGTAATTACCACATTCCAACTTAGTTGGTAGCTCTTCTCCTACCAAAGTCTAATATTTGTGTCCAATTTCTTTCAAACTCACCGAAATGGTGGATTGTTATGGTAATTTCACACATAATAATGGTAAAGTTGTCCCTGTGCTTAATTAATTTAGCACCATGCCATGAAGATGCATGGGGGAGTGGAGGTATACCTCCACCATTCCTGTCCTTAGTACTAGATGGGTGTGAGTGGACAGTTTCACATCCTAGCTACTTTACCCATGGGAAAAGCGCCCTCAGAGCCCAGAGTTGGTCTGGACACTGTGCAGCAAAGAAAAATCTCTTTCCGCTGCCGGGAATCGAACCCAAGCCATCCAGCTCGTAACCCGTCACTATACCGAAACTGATCCCAGTTCCCCTTTACACATAATAACTAGTGAACTGCACATAATATGCATTCGTTTTCTTATACATATCACATATTACATAGGCGTACAGGTGTTTAATAGACGATTGGTAGTTTCTGGTAGCAATATTTGCTTTCAAATAATGCGTGAAATCGTTTTTTTTATTTACATAATATTAGCAATCAGAATTACGTTTGATTCTATAAGCTAATTTGCTGTAGTATTCTTTGTGATGTGGAGAGGGCTTATCCAGAGATAAGTCCTCGTTAACCCTCTCTCAGGTCGGCTGGCCAATTCCTTTTTAGTCTTCATCCATTGTGTGGTTCCAGTAATGGTTGAATTAGTACGTTCTCGTGGCCTTCTATTTTGTTGAAGTATCTTGTGCTTTTCCCTTTTATGACTTCCTTCACTAGCGGCACTTTCAGGTCTTCATGGAGTGTTATATTGGAAACACGCCATGGGGCGTTAGTAATCATATGTAGTATCTTTGACTGAGATCTTTGGATTACATAAATATTGGTTTTGCTAGCACATCCCCATATTTCCACTCCATATACCCAAATTGGTTTTATTATTGTTTTGTAAAGTAAGATTTTGTTGTCTAATGAGAGTTTGGAATTTCTTCCAGTTAATCAATGCATGTCCCTGATTTTTAAATCAATCTGTTTGTGTTTTTTAGTAATGTGCTCCTTCCAGGTTAGATGGTTGTCTAGATGAATACCTAAGTATTGTGTTCTGGGTGATTCAGGTATTCGTATGTTATTAAAGAAAACTGCAGGACATTGTTCTCTTCTTAGACTGAAGTTTACTTGCACTGACTTGGTTTTGTTGATTTTTATTTTCCAATTATTTGATTTAGATGATTTTGAAAAGTGAAGGTAGCTATTGCTGGATCTGTGTTGGCTAAGAGGATCATGGTATCAACGACAAATGTGCCCATAGTTGTGCTGGCATTGACTGGTAGGTCTGCTGTATACAGTATATAAAGTAGTGGGCCTAAGACACTGCCCTGTGGTACTCTTGATTTTATTGCAAAATTGTTAGATATGCTATCATTGATTCTCGTTCTGAACTCTCTGCCACTTATATAGCATTTAGTAAGTGGAAATAAGTGATGGGCAGATATTTTTTGATTTTGTACAGTAGTCCTGGATACCATACCTTATCAAAGGCTTGACTTGCATCGAGGAAGGCTGATGTACAATATTCTTTATTTTCTATTGCCTGGTGTATTTTGTGTGTTATTCTATGTATCTGCTGTACAGTGGAGTGGTTTTCTCTAAAATCATATTGATGTGATGGTATCCATTCGTCTGTATTTGGGTCAGACCTCATTCTTTTTAAGAGAAGTCTTTCGAGTGAAATCGGCGTATTCCTGTTTTGAAATCGTGTCGTTCTCTCGGTTAAATAAAACCGTTTAACAAAAACAATATAGTGATGTTACTTATTATTGGGGACATTCCTCCTAAAGGAGCTAATTAGACCTATGTCTGTAATTCTTTCAAACTTCCATCCATAATATTGCTCCAAGCAAATCTGCGAGTAGCGAAAAAAAAATACCAATGCATTACCTGCTTTTGTTCCTCTGAAAGCCCAAATATAGGTTCATCTATTGAGCAGTAATCTGACAGTGACCTCCGTGAAGCCTGGACTACAGTCACTACTCTCGATAAGATACTGCAAACGCTATTCACCATCACCGCTTTCGTCACTGCCATTGCTACACCTTCCTTTATATAAAGTGATGGACGCTACATAATAGTAAACTGTATTACAATAAACTGAACCCCAGCAGATAGTACTCCTCATATATAAATTCGCTTATTTTGGTTCACTTAGCCTTGGCCGGCTGGACTGCATAGCTTACTACACGCTGTTAGTGTGATAAACGTTGACGCCAGTTATCATCATATACTGCTTATTCAGCACGTTCAGCGCGCCGTATCGCCTGCCTGACGTCACTGTACAAAGTACGAAATAACAGCTGCTATGTAGAAACGACCGACAGACGTCAATTTATTTATTGTAATTCCATCATATAACACAGCTTCTTTACAGATCATCCATTGTCGTGGAATTAACGCGGTGGCTAGAAAGATATATACCGAGTGGGTCTACATTCCTGAAATTATTAATGTGCTTTGTTTTCGAGAGGTAGGTGGTTTGGACGTCTGTCGGAGAACTTACTATTCACTCCTGTAATGAAATGTGATTTGCTTTCAGGAGGTACCTAGTTGGAGAGTCTACTATGCTGACAACAATCTGAGACCTCTGAGGTTTTCAGTGCGGTGATTATGAAAAGTACTGGGCGCTGGGATGACTACTGTCTGTTAGAAACATGCTGACAAATCTTTATGGCTAGTAGGCTTTCTGTCTGACCTTGAAGCTGGAGGCGGTATGCCGTTATAGAGAAGTCACTGCCACTCCTGAGAATCAAATCCAGAATTTTCCACTTGTTCAGGTTGCAGCCTAGTTACCATACTGTCTGAGCTACCTGGCTCTGTAGTAATGCATTTCCTTAACAACTGCTCTCTTTCTGAGGTGGTATGCTGTTGGGTGTGCTTGCATTTTGTTTCCAAGCATTTCTCCAACACCTTGCTTTTATGTATCACATAGAGCATTATAAACAATTTGAATTTTTGGCATTCCTTCAGAGAGAAAATAATTTTATTTGTGCTGTGGAGTAAATGACATTCACAAGTCAACAGTGTGTACTTTGATATTCAAATTATAAAAAGCCAATATTTTCAGATTGTAATGTGATCCATATTAACTTTCTCTTCTAATTCTTTCTCCCCTCCCCTATAACAATATTAAATGAGAATCTCTATGTCTCCAGCTAATGATAAGAGACTCAAAAAACTATCTGAAGTAGCAGTCATGACCTGAACCAGTGATACCTGTCACTACAGTAACTAGACTGCAGGTTGGCCAATCAGAAATTAATGTTTTGTTCATGGAACAGGTGGAAATATTTTCATCACATCCAGACAAGCTGTTAGGCCCACTGAACCTATCTGATGGGAACATGGGAGTTCTTTCACTACAATTAAAATGGATGGGGCATGAGAATGACCCCCCACCCTATTTGATCTAGTACCAATGTTAAGAATGTGTGAAGCTATATTTCCACTGCCCCATTCCTTTATAGTGCTTAATTAAGTAGAGTGACAATTTCACCCTCACCATACCAGACATATAGCCCAGTGACCTACAGCCTGAGCTTATACTGAGCCTTGTAAACCATCTGAATGGTCAACATTGCTTCACAGAGAAAATTATCATCATTTAATCTACAGTATGGAGTTACTGACAGGCATTCATATGTAAAGTCAGAGTTAATAATAATAATAAATTTTATCAAGCCATAACTATAAAATACTAACCAAACTGACATTGATAAAATGAATGAGAACATATATCAAACTAACCTAACCTAACTCACAAGCACAGTGTCCAATGTTCCTTTAGTGTTCAGCTGTATCATTTCCCCCACTGTTTCTGTTAATACATGGGAAAATTTTCATTGTCAACATTGAATCACCTCGTGCTTAGGTGCCAGTAGACCCAGATGTGTCACCCTCATGCAAAGGCTGCCTCTCTCTACAGTGCGGGCCATTACTCCATTACATCTGCGGCTCTTACACAGTATGCAGTCCCCTTTTCCACTTCGGAGGGGGGGGGGCGACCTCTCTACAAGGCTCATTTCCTCATTTTATGAAAACCGCTGAACATCCCGTTTGTTCGTTTCATGAATTCCAGCTCTAGGGTCTTCTTCCCAGAGTTGATAGTTGCTTTGAGCTCCACTCTCTGATGCCCATCGCGGTTGCCCTCTTCTTTCTCGAGTACAGCGGCCGCTTGCCGCCTAGATCCTTTGTTGCTCTTTCTGTTTCATGGTGCGTCCATAAATTCTTCTGAGCGGCCCCACTCTCTGGGTTGCTCGCTTAACCTTGACCTTGGTATAATCCTTTCTGATGATGCCTCTCCTGACTCGTGCCACTCTGGAGGCGCTCCGCGGCCAGATTCTTGTCCCTACGCCTCTTCCCCAGTCCTGCGACCGGTATCACTGCGGTTTCTCCCTTGGGGACTTCTTGATGCTCCACTACGGACCGCGTCATTCCTGGATCGGGCTCAGTCTTCTCTGTATCTGCCTCCGTCGCTTCGTGCCAGGGCTTCATGTCCGCTGAGGTTGGCTCCTCTCATTCCAGATGTGCTTCCGTCGTTATTTTGAAGGGCATTGTCTGTTTTTGAGCACTCCTCATGACCCTCTCTTGATGTTCCATTTCGGGTTCCAGTCTCATCTGGTTTGTGTCTCTCTTGTCGCGAATGGCTTCCAGCCCTGCCGCCACTTCTTCTTGGTCGGCTTTCCGTTCAGCATTCCATTTTTCTCCATCGGCTTTCCACTTGACCATCATTTTTTTGAAGCCGGCAAGGCAGTCACGTGATAGCTACGTCGCTAGTCCATTGTTGCGCTCGCTTTTACCTAGAAACAGCTGTAAATATTCGCCCTTTTGTTGAGTGAGCTTACGCGAGATGTTTCTCGCGCCATTGCCTAGCTATGCATGTTACAATATTTTGAAACACCACCATGAGTTTTGGGACATACTTACATACCAAAATTGTGTCTTTTTTATGTTCTTATGAACAGTACTTACATTAATGAGTGTAAGAATAAAATGGTCTTGGATGAAGAGGAGCTTTATGTCTTGTGGTTGGATAACTTTAAAACGGAAAAAGAAAACCACTGGGATGCAGAATGAACAAGAAGTTAAGGGTCATTGGCTTTGCTTATATCAGAGAATTAGTCCCAGTGAGGAGCTGAGGGTGCCCTCTCCACTATGAGTTATTTTGTATAAGTACCCTTTGTATATATCTTAATTTGATCACTTTTGAATAATAACTCTTTCATCACAATTACACATTATCCAAGTGGGTAGGATGCAATGTGACGAAATAAACTCACGAGGTAGATGCTATGTAGAAATTTGCGTAACATGATGCAACATTTTGCAAAATTATAAGACCTGGAGAATTTCTTTTTGGACGCTCTGGAATATTTATGGAATATTTTAAGAAGTAATGGATGCTGTAAAGCGGTTTCATTTATGGTGTAATTAGCTGAGGTCTGTCACCCGGGTATTCACCGTGGATTGATTGGCTGCATACTGTGTAAGAGCTGCAGATGTGGGAGCTCCGGCCACTCCAGGAGTTATGGCCCGCACTGTAGAGAGAGAAAGCCTTTGGATAAGGGTGAAACATCTAGATCTACTGGCACCAAAGCAGTGTACTGCTCGATACGAGCTGGCCTTAAGGAGGGAGTGGTGGTAGTAGTTGGAGAATAGTCGCCGCAGGAGGAGACTATACTGTGTTCACATTACCTCAGTATTCCATTAATTACCAACATACAGGTACACACACAGCACAACCAGACTTCATTATCATCGAATTCAACAATGAACATTACAGACATGAAACAATTTGATGATGTGACGAGTATATTTGTGCAGCAGTTGCTCTCTATACTCACATCCAAATGCTCGAGTCGATTATTGGTGGGGATACCGGTTGTACCGAATTACACTTTCCGGGTTATTCTTTACTTGTTGCAGGGAAAAATGTCACGACTGCTTTGTTTAAAATCATTCCAAGTTCACCTTATCAAGCAGTATTCCAACTGATGCTATGTAACCTAAAATACTAAGAGCATCGTAAAATAAACCCTAAATAACACACGCTCGCAAGAACACTCATTGGACTTTGTCCATTGTCCTGCTAGAATGAGTCTTTTCTAATGGACCCAGCAGAGTAGTTGTGCCCCCCTCCCTTAAGAGAGGACCAAAACAGACTCAGTTCCTGAAATGGTACATTCTCTTGTTTTTTGAACACCAGACAATGAACACAATCCAAAAACCCAGCAAGTGATTCTAAGTGATATACAATATCAATTTTAAATTCTGAATGTTGGTGAATGAAGCGTAAGTCAGAAACATTTTTTTCTTCTCCTTCAGTTAAAGTACAGGCTTCTATGTCACATTCAGAGTCTCAGTTATTCTGCCCATCTTTCTTGTTCACATTTCTTATTCTCCGAGGTCTGTACTTTTGTCTCGTCATCATCCATCCTTTCCACATGGCTCTGCATGTCAGTCCCTCTGCTGTATCAGCTACACCAAGCAGCTATTTCGCTGCGCACAGCATGTGCTCACAATGTGGTGTAAAATTTATATACATTAAAACAGTTTCTGAGCTAGTGGGATGAGAGGTCTCAAAAATAAGAACTTCCATTGATGATTACTAACTCAGCTCCCTGGAGTTATTTACATATTAGTAAACTGAAAAACACATGCTGTAAACATACATTTCTTGGAAGAAGACAGGCTTTGCTTCACTCTGGTGGGAATACAGGGTTTGTTAAACTGACTGGCTGGATGCACATCACTGCCCTCATGTATATATACACAGCATACTGTACTGCCCCAATGTATATAACAGGAGAACCCAGACATACTGACCATTGGCGATACATTTGGGTTGCTTCAGCAGGATGGAATCAACACCAAATTCCAGTTCCAAACACTCAAGTCAGAAGTTCTATTGCCAAATATTAACCAACTTCGCACAGCTGCACCTTTTCAGCTCAGCTATAATCTATTACCAACATGTTATGGAATGCAAGGGTTCATTAGCATTCACAGCCAGACACTGGTCCCTATCCTGAGCCAGATGATTTAACTCCATATTCCCTTCTTTAAACATAAAGAATACACAGCATCAGCCTACCTTCACACTTTTCTGAGGACAACTGCAACATGCAAATACATTCGTGCGCTGCCCACTACTTTATATTGTGAAGACACACAAAATGGAACACATATTCCAGGACCATGGAGCAAGATCAGTTCTGGTGATGTAGCGACAGCCAACGTGTGGTGACACATGAGGAAGAGCTCTGCCGATGCAAAGTTATTGAGGGATGACTGCATGGTACATCTTAGGCAAAATGAAGTAAAGAGTTCCTCGGCAAGAGAAGTGTCAGTAATCAGAGATCACTTGCTCAGGGTGACCAAGAATTAGCTTCAGTTATGATGCAGTTCATTCAGGCAGTGAAGAAAACAGGTATGGAAGGAGGGGCATAACTGCACTGAATTTAAGTACATTTAAAAGCTATTCCTCTTGTGTCATTCCACAACATGAAACATCTGAATTCCAATTAATAATATTAATCACACTGCCTAATTTTATTACAGAATATTTCACAATTTTCAGTTGACTCTTTCCCTCTAAGGCAAAGGAGACCTAAAGCAAAAAGGAGTGCCTCAGTGCCAAATCACTTTCATTTTTGATCTCATGACAGACCACTCAGTTTCTCTGCTGATATTCACAATGAAAAGATGTAAGCAATTCTTTCTTGATCCTTTCAATTAAATTCTCTGTACTACTTCATTTCTCCAGAAGCAGAATCAACCCACCTTTATTGAACTTTCTTTTTATAATCAATATACCAAGTATCCTGCAAACGGATATCTCGTCTGCAATGTACAAAACAGCGTAGTTTGTATTCATCTGACCAATCCATAATATCTACCTCAATATACTCAATCCAAGTGATATATCAATCTGAAACTAACTGATCAATGAATTCAATCACATGTAATGGCAGAAGAACACAGATAACATACAGCAAAAAGCATATGATGCTGCTGAATTATGTGTATAAGCTGTCGATCCGTTTCAGTGACTACATTCTACTATTTGTTAGCTTCCAGTGCTGAATTAACATCATAACTGTAGGCGAATGTCATGTCATATCTGTTTCCACTCAAAAAGACGGCATGTGCACATTCAGCAGTCAAAATCAAATGGAACTCATTTGCACAGATGTTTTGTACCATGGGACTAAGTTCATTTCCCGTAAGTTAGAAAGGTTAGCAACAATAATCAACGCCAATATATTGTAGCATTCTACAAAATTGAAGCATGCCACACAGCAAAACTGTCTTACTTACAACATGAAAAACTGTGGCATGCTACAAGTCACATACTCTTCCTTTAGTCTAAACCCATCTCTACTGCTCTTATGATTTACTACATACATCAACATGTATGCACAGAAGTTTCTTCAGATGGCTCTGTGTACTGAATGACTTATTACTATGGCCCGGATTTTTTGAAAATGCATATGCGCATATGCAAATGCATATTTTGAGGGTTTCTGGTCGTTATTGCATATTCTAAACGTAAGAGCATATTTCTGCATACATGTTTGGAATTAAGGATAATTTCAATGTTCCCTAACAAATGAACCGTGCAGCGGTTCTTCTTCGTTAATTTCCTTGGAGTCCCCCCCCCCAAACGCCAGGATGCGAGCCGCTCCCTTTCTTTCCGATTAACGTCTTGGCTGACGTCAGGTCAGCTGCCTTGTCTCCCCCCCTCCTGGACTTAGACAGAGGTTTCCTCAGTAGTACAAGTGAATGTATCTTCCTCTCTTCCCGTTGACCTTCCCTTGGAAACACCGCTGCATCTAAATTTGGTTTTGGAAAGTTGAATTCACTGTGTTGGAAATTTGGTTTCGGCCTGCAGCACTGATCGAAGGGGGAAGAGTGCCCTCACAACATGGTCAAGGGTGGATCAGTCGTGGGGTGAATCTTTAAGCTTGTATATTCAAGTAAGTGACTTACTAAGGTAATATACGCCGCGAGGCGCATTTTGGTTTGAGTATTGACGCCGTGTGGCGTACGGTAATTTTGATTTTGTCTAAGGTTGTACTGAACAGCGGATCACCCCTCAGCCGTGTATGTAAGCTGTTTATATTTCCTTGTGCCCTCAAGGCTTGCCTAAGTACATGGTTGTACTGGAGAAGTAGAAAGACGCCATGAGGCGTAGCTGACTTGACTTTCTGTGCTGCTAGGCACAGCGTAGTTCTGTATCACTCATTTATCACATGTTCTGACCGGTCACTGCCCTTCAGGCGGAGTCCATTTGTATACACATGTTATCAATATATATTTATTTATATGTTTGAGAACGCCAGTTGTTTATGTATACTTGTGCCAAACGATCCATACCAGTTTCTGACTAGCGGATCCGTCCAGCCTGGCCCATTGTGCCGACTGTGGTTTTCCTCCCCCGAGATCCCTTACTCAATCTTAGGGAGGCATAGTGCATCACACTACAAGCAAGTCGTTTCTTATGAGCCTGTCCCTTACCCATATAGAAGAGGGATTCATGGGTCAAAGTGGGTAAAAGAACGGGGTTCTTTACCCACAGGGTCAAGGGACACAGCTCACAAAATCGGTTTTGCCCGTGTTTTGGACATCCCTTGCCAGTTGCTATTCTCAACTCTGAGTAATGGCACTTTTACCACTTACAATACAAACAGGTAGCTTGGCTATTTCAAAAGGGAGGGGGTGGGATTTTCCTGCATTTCTTTGACCATCACAGCAGACAGTAGCATCACAGGGTTGGTCTCGAGAGAAGTCTCTTCAGTTAACGTGTTACTCTTTACTTTAATAGTCTGCGTCAAAAAAGTGTTTGTGTACTGAAAATGCCTATAGAAAAGTATAGCAGTAGATATTTAAAAATTCGGTGGGTGTCGAGTAATAGTGACTATTCAACAGACGGTGTCGTCGTGTACTGTCAAGTGTGAGCAAAGGAAGTAAAATGTGAAAAGAAATTTCAACTTGAACAACACTCAAGAACGACTGCACATGTTGCGACAAATAAGGGGAAGAAGAACAGCACACCACAACAACTACTTCTTACACAGGTCAAACCCAAATCCTATGTTAATAGATTATCAGCTGATCTTTGTAAGGCTTTAGTATGCAGCAACATTCCATTGAATAAATTAAGCAATCCAGTTCTGTGATCATTTCTGGAGAAATACTGTGTAATTAAAAAAATCCCAAATGAATCAACTCTTAGAAAAATTATCTACCTTTGCTGTATGAATCTACTCTGGAGTCAACCCATTCTGACATCGGAGGGAACCGTGTCTGGATATCGGTGGATGACACAACCAATTTATGTGGCTGATATATAGCAAATTTCGTATTTGATAAGCAACATCCAGATGAACCCAGCAACCCTCATCTTCTTGCTTGCAGAGTACTAGAGAAAACCAACCATAGCACAATAGCAAGATTTGTGAATGATTCTCTGAGACTACTATGGCCATCTGAAATTGAGAATAATTGTTGTAAGGTGCTTGTATTACTCACAGGTGCAGCTTCCTATATGTTGAAAGCAGCAGAGGCCTTACAAGTATTTTATCCAAATCTTATACATTTAACCTGTTTAGCGCACGGATTACACTGTACTGCAGAAAGAATACACGCACAGTTTCCAGCTGTTAATGATTTAATTGCAAGTGGGAAAAAACTGTTTCTGAAAGCACCAGCTCGTGTCCAGTTCTACAAAAATTGCCTACCTCAGGTTCCTCTGCCACCTGAACCTGTACTAACTAGGTGGGGGACATGGATATCCACAGTTTCATTTTATCAAGAGAATTTCAATCAAGTAAAAGAAGTGGTTACAAAACTTGAAGATGAGTATGCATGTGTCCATGAAGCAAAAGTGGTGTTTGGAAATGATACTGTTTATCAAAATGTGAATTTTATCCATGCACATTTTTCTACAGTTTCAAAAGCCATTGAGAGCTTAGAATCTTGTGGTGCACTCCTTCACGACTCACTTGAACTCGTTCAGAAAGCAACTTGTTCACTGAATTCCGCTCCAGGCGAAATTGGAGAGAAGATTAAATTCAAGTTAGAAAATGTGTTGAAATCAAACCCATGACTAAAAAGAAGATTCAGTCAGTTAGTCAGTACTTGAGTGGAATTAGGGTAGCTTGGCCAGATGAATGTTCCGAACCTTCAGCGCCAGTGTATAAATACTGTCCAGTGTAACGCCGGGTCTACGTTACATCAGAGGGCATCCCCCCACCCCATTTCTTACTACTTACCCCTTCCAATGTTCCACTTCCTGGTTCCCGTCGGCTGAGGTCCAACGCGAGTGATCCATTCTGTTGTGGGACCCTGAACTGTGCAGTCAGTTCACCTTTTCTGGTCGGTATGACTGTGATTGTCGGAGGCTTATTACCTCCAGGCACTTAGGTTGTATTTGTATTTGTTATTTAACATATATACATATTCATTTGATATATTTGTGATAGTCTCTTTGAGTTGGTACTTCCCACCCAAGAACCAAATTTCGGTCTTCAAGACCTTTTCATGTTTCACCAGTCACGTCAGTTGATGTAGAAAGATCATTCTCAGCCTATAAACTCATTTTGACAGACAACAGTCGCAGTTTGTCTCCAGAAAACACTGAAAGACTTGTAGTTGCCTATTGTGATGCTACTTTCTCCAGTGAATGATACATGTAAATAGGTGAGTCTGAATAAAGTGACCTGTTTCTTAAGTGCATATTGTTTTATTTTTGGTGCACATTTTCCCACTTTTTAGCACATATTTGGTTCATATTTTAAGTGTTTTTAGCGCACAAAGATCCGGGCCCTACTTATTACATACAACTAAATGGATGCTCCCTACTATGTATGCACTGATGCTTCTTCAGATGGCTCCACAGACTGAATGACTTATTACATACATTACAGCAAAATGGCTTTTTCCCACTATGTACGCGCAGATGTGTCTTCAGATTACTCTGATCACCGAACGACTTATTACATACATCACAGCAATATGGCTTTTCGTCACTATGTATGCGCTGATGTTTCTTCAAATTACCCTGCTGACTAAATGACTTATTACATACATCACAACAAAATGGCTTCTCCCCACTATGTATGTGCTGATGTGCCTTCAGAGTACTCTGCTGACTAAATGACTTATTACATACATCACAGCAAAATGGCTTCTCTCCACTATGTATGAGCTGATGTTTCTTCAGAAGTCTCTGTTCACTAAATGACTTATTACATACATTACAACAGAGTGGCTTCTCTCCACTATGTATGAGCTGATGTCTGTTCAGATTACTCGGATCACCGAATGACTTATTACATACATCACAGCAAAATGGCTTTTCGCCACTATGTATGTGCTGATGTGTCTTCAGATTACTCTTCTGACTAAATGACTTATTACATACATCACAGCAAAATGGCTTTTCCCCAGTATGTATGAACATATGCTTCTTCAGATCACTCTTCAAAATGAATGACTTACTGCATACATCACAGCAAAATGGCTTTTCCCCACTATGTACGAACATATGCCTCTTCAGATCACTCTTCAAAATGAATGACTTATTACATACATCACAGCAAAATGGCTTTTCATCACTATGTTTGCACTGATGTACCTTCATATGACTCTGCTGACTAAATGACTTATTACATACATCACAACAAAATGTCTTCCCCCCACTATGTATGCCTTGATGTGTCTTCAGATGACTCTGCTGACTAAATGACTTATTACATACATCACACCAAAATGGCTTTTCGTCACTATGTATGCGCTGATGTCTCTTCAGATTACTCTGCTGACTAAATGACTTATTACATACATCACAGCAAAATGGCTTTTCGCCACTATGTATGCGCTGATGTGTCTTCAGATGACTCTGCTGACTAAATGACTTATTACATACATCACAGCAAAATGGCTTTTTGCCACTATGTATGCGCTGATGTTTCT